CCTGCTGTGCTTCAAGTAATAAACAGGAAAGAAAGTTTAAATTGAGACTTACCACGGGGCACCATATATTCGGAATCCTTTAACTGTTACCTCTGAATCTTGTAAGTAAATACTATTTGTCAGGAGTGACTGAACATTGTCAAAGTCCTCTGGTTTCAATTTGGACACAGAGGGAAAGCGGTAGTAATCTTGTTTAACAAGGTCTGCCATGAATTCCTTATCAAATGTCAGTTCATGATTCCCAGCAATCACTATTTTATATTCATATGGCAGGTTTCCTGAAATAACAAAAAAGAGGACTTAATTAGCACATTTTCCTCCCACACCAGAATTGCTGGCACAATAAGTAGACAGCTAGCAGTGACAGAACAAAATACCCAAGATACGTGTGCATCTCCACGTTGAGCAGAAGTTATTAATGCTGATTCTCTTCCACTGAATGAAACTGTGTTAAAATGTAATGTCACACAAACCTATGTCAGAACAAAAAACTTTGTACTGCAAACTCAAACAAAACAAGCTGGCAGGCACCTAACCACCACCAAAGGTGGCATAAACCACCACTGCTCCCTGGCTTTCAACTGATGACACACTGATTTAGAGCTGCTTAAGATGTGACATTGAGTCCTACCACTTAATTCATGGGACTGGGCAGAGTCAGCAGTCTCAGCCCACCAGTGACCTGTGCTGAGAGACCCTGGGTGTCAGAGTGGGCAGAGAAGCGACTGCAGTACCCCTCACAGGTATGCCATGAGGGTACCAGGCATGGAGTATTGAATTAGGATGCTGGTGCTGTTGTTCTTTTTAAATTATGTGGATTAATTCATAAGAAACCCAAAGCCTTCAAGAAGAGGTATTTATTCCAAACCCAGCCTGTTCTTCAAAGCTCCAATTCACTTGCAACAGACTTGCACTTTATTATCAGAACTCAGTTTATGGAGGTATCTTATTTAAGTAAGACATACACATGTAGAAGAAACCATGAAACTCAAGCAGGTAAGATATTGGATAGGAAAAAGGAAATGTACTTCATTCATTTACCCAAGGGTCACAGATAAAGAGGACAGGCTTGATCACCTCAAGTTGGCATAACTATTTTTTTCATCGTTTGGAACAAGGCATGAATCAGGCCCACAGAGCCAGATTTTTGGAGTTTAGAGACAGATTTTTATGCACTTGGTACCAACAATCAGCGCCAAATCTTCCAAATGAACATACTGTGTGCTGAGCTCCCGTTAAAAATACAGCCCTATACTCTGGTGTCTTCACAAAAGTTAGGTTCCTTCACAAAATCTGTCCCACTGTGACTTGCCAAAAATCACAGGCAAGTTTGCATTAAAGCTAAAACCAGACACATCTCCTTCTACTGCCTTCACCATAAGCCTGATTTCTTAGTCTTATACCAAATCATTCATTTGGGTGTACATCCCTAGTATTCATCTGGAAAAAGCTTGGTTTTGTCTGGGTTTTGGTTTTGGGGTTCATTTTTTTTGTGTGTGTGTTTTTGTTTGTTGTTTTCTGTTGTGTTTGGTGTTTTTTTTTTAATAAAGGCAGCAAAATTGCGTGGAAAAATATGTGCCTACCTTCCAGTTCTAGTACTCCCAACATTTTACCCAAGGAACACAGAATTTGGATGCTGCATATTTCTTGTGAATACAGTTCTAAATAGATGTGGCTCTGCTAGTTTAAAACTTGTCTTTCAGCTTTCAAAACTAATTGGATCTGTGTTTTCTTAAATAAATAAAAAAAGTTTCCAAAGTAAAGCTTTTAAGTATTTACTAGATTAAATTTCCCCTTTATAAGACTTAAGGGGAACCTGTCAAAACCCTTGGCTTTTCAATATTTATAGCACAGAAACAGAAATTACACAAGATATGTATATAAACAATCTTAGCAAAAGTAGTTAATTCCTGATAGAAGAACAAAAAGCTATAAATCCCCTGGGAAACAAACAAACAAACAAACAAGCAGACATTTTTATAGACACCTCACATCTGAACAAAATGCAATCATACATATTCACAACTCTCTGCGATGCTGCATTAGATTAAATACTGGGAAAGTGTAATAAATGTTCCTCTGCAGTTTATGCCTCACCCCTTTCACTCTTCCCTCTCCTTCCTCATCTCTGCTACATGCTGCTCTGCAATTCATTTTTATTTAAAAACTCAATGTGGCAGGTACCTACAATTCCTGCTCTCTGTGACTCCTGGGCACAAGGTAAAATCGTTATTTTCTCCTCTCTCAGGAAACATAAAAGATACCACTGGCATGAAATTTGATGCACTTGTCGTAACTACCAACCCCCCAAAACAAGCTAGATGTGATTAAATTCTCAGAGAAGTAAGATGGAGAAGCTAAATTCAGGTTTCTGCCCAAGTTATCAACATTTGCCAGCTCTAGCAGGAAAACTTCTCATCTAACTGGATAAATGTCCCAAGTTTGACACTTTCTCCCATTTGTTCTAATAGACTTGTAAATCAGCACATTTTGCTGATATTATGTCCAATTAAGACTGGAACATTTTTCCTCTCGGTCAAGCTCTTTTATCTTGACACCTTGAGAAAGGTTTACTTTCAAGACACACAGGACATGAAAAGACAAACCAATGGTGGCAGCAGTGATTATTAAAACATGTAAGTGTAACATTATACATGTTATATAAGCACCTGAAAACAGTAGGGAAAACCAAACAGCACTTACTGCAACTGGTGTCAAGACAGCTGTTGATTTTAATGAGACTTTAGAGAAGCTATGCTTGGTCAGCTCTTCAGAGCCAGGCAGGAGCCAGGGGTCCATGGGAGAAAACAGCATCTCCCCAGTGCCACCAGGGAGCTCAGGACACAGCCACACCAATCAAACCCAAGGACTAACACCAGGACTGAGCAGTAAAGCAAAAGAGGCCCCAGTGGAACCAAAGATCATCAAGATCCAACTGTAAGCTCCAGGTCAGTGTAACTGCATGTCCAAAGCCCATGAGCTGCAGTAACCAGTACTGGGTGTGATGGGATGTGTGCAGACCCATGTACCCCATCCAGCAAGGAGACAAGGTGTGCTTTACTCCCTATCTGTTCATACCTCAATATTTACCATAGAATGGGCAAAAAGGTCAGAGCTGGCTCCCCACCTAGCTCCTCAACTTTATAAGCAGTCACATTTTGCTTTCCTTTTCTGGGGCTGTTCAGGAGCTAGTATTAAAAATGCAAACACATCAAAAGCCAAGCCCAAGGAAAGGGGATTAGCAAGAAGTCTCATCCATTTCTTTACTCTTCCCTGAGGAAAGACTAAACAGCACTAATCACAGTAATAAATTACCTGCAATCAGATTAGCTATTTATTCATCACATTCAGGCTTTCCCTTCCTCAAAGGCCCAGTGGCAGTGCATTCATTCCCTCTGATACAATTTATGAAATATTCTGGCCTGTTTTGTTTTGGCAGTCCTGCCCTTTGTCTATAATCCTCTGACCTCCTCTGTTTAATATAAAAGCATAAACAGTCACACACAAAATCTCCTACCCCATGGTATTTTACTTTCATCTTGACCAGATTAATCTCTGCATATCTACATCCATGCTGTCTGTACAGAGAGATATGCTGTAGTACAATACACAGGTTAGAAGGCATTTCCTCATTTTCCTTCCTTAAATTTTCATTGGCTACATTTGGTCTTTATTAGACTAATTTCCTAACTATTAAATTTTCCATCATGCATCAGTAATATTATTAGTTCTTTATACTGTGAATCTGGAAAACAGATAGAAGAATCTATGAAAAGAGTTTTATCTGCTTGCTGGGCTAAGAACTTCAGAAACCTCAATTATCAAGTCCCATGGTAATTGAATTTAAATTTTAAAAACTTCAATGTTTAACAGGTGAGATCAAAAGGCTAAAATTACAGCTGCTGAAAATGATTAGGATACCAAGCCTGTGAAGTAAGGTCACTTACGCTGAAGTATTTGAAATACTATCTATATATACACACATAGAGTGTGGGTTTGTGCATGTGTATCTTGAAAATATATAGACATATTTATTATTTTGGCTAAGATGTTTTTCAGCATCTGTCCTCAATAGCATAAGCAAAGCCCCAGTGTAATCATGGATCAAGAAAATACTGCAATTAGAAAAGTTATCTTCTGGAAGACAAAATTTCAGCATCACTCTTGCACAAGTAAGAAGCAAAGACAGTTTACTGTGAATAACTTGTAAAAATGGAATTGTTTATAGTAAATACACCAATCTGGAAGTCAGAAGATTTCTGTGACTTCTTGTTTAACAAGTCAGCTCTGAAGCTACAGTTCCATATATCTTTGCTCCCCAAGCATTCATCCTCACTCCTATGCTACCATGCCTCTTTGCCAACATGAGGACTTGGTGTTCAGTGGATCAGGAAACTGATCCAGCTGAAAACTGATGTAGCAAAAAAGGAATGAGGCTGTGAACGCTGGTACAGCTGGACATCTTTTGCTGGCTGCAACCACTTGTATTGCTTTAAAGTGTTGGCTGAACAACACGCTGACTTTAAATACACCTATTACACTGGACAAAAGAGGAAGCTGCAGGGAGATGGGGTGTTGTTTGGGATTTTTTTTAACCTATGTAAGTAGGTATTCCAGTGGTTTTAAGTTCACCTTGAGAACTAGATCCCAGGAGTCCTTAATCTGCTGAAAAAACATTCCCATTTTAATGGCATGCTTCATATGAGTACAATTTAGTCACACAACCCAAGTTCTGTAGAGCTGCCAGACATGAAAAGGAGTCTGACTGGCAATGAATGTTAACTGCTGAGTCCCTATAAAAATAGAAAATCACATTTTTTTTTTTACTACTGATACCTACAAAATCCACAGAGGAGTAGGGGAATCAGAAATAATGTGATACTAGCTATCTATATAGGGGTAGAAAACTATATTTACACACAAATACTATGCAAGTGCTTTTGATGTGAAGCTCTGAATATGCATACACATGCAAGAACTATTCAAGCCACACAACACTTCCATGAAACATGAAGCATTTTCATGCTTATTTCAGAGCCTCGCAGACCCTTTGGCCATATGTTGAGAAATGGGCTGAGAAACCTTGAAGGATAAATCTTCTCCACTTCAAAAAGAGGGAAATCTGTACAAGTGAGATGCTTGTGCAAGCGAATCATCTCAGATTTATGGTATATTACATGTGCTTCAAAAAGGCAAAACTGGTCATGGAGCATTCATCTATAACCAACCACATACACATCTGGAGGTAAACACTGAAGGAGCAGGCTTTGTGTTGTTC